CTAGCGGAAGCTAGGTACTCATTTCCACCTGAGTTAAGGGAGGAAAATGGTGTTTATTGCCTTTCCCTAGAGCAAAGGATCGGTAACAAGGTGTGGTTCGAACCCGCGACCTCTGGGGACTGTTAGACGAACGCGCTACCGATTGCGGTACACGACCCCACGCAGGTCGCACACGTTCCTGGTTTATGAGTGAACACATAGGTAAGGTATAGCGGAGACAGCTTGCTAAGATCTATTCCCACCCTCCCCACCATCCATCAGCAGACCGGAAGCAGAAAGCATCCGACGTCCCAGATGTCCAAGTTGAATGGTCGCATTTATATATTCGTTGACGGTATCGGCATGCAGTGCAAGATCTGGAACGCACTAACCGGCACGAAGGGCCAGGTGCATCCACTCTCAACCTTAGCCGGTTGGTAGGTAGAGGATCAGCAATACAAGGGACACCCACAAAGGAAACAGTGAGTAGGTGAACTAAAAATATAACCACGGACCGGGAGACATGTTCAGACACCCCCCCATAGCACAAGTGTTTCGTGGAAGGGTGGTGGTGCAATAGCCTAGGTTGCAATTCTAACTATCCAGCAAACAGAAAGACAAAAGGAACTCAAAAACACTGTTATCCCTATCTAAGCATTTTCTGGGAGAAAATATAGGCCACAAGGGGCCACCCTCATGTAGAATTGAGTTGGATTCAAAACGCGAGTGGAGGCATCTCCTCATAGGCTAGGGTGCCTTCTTGGATTCACGGAGTTATTACTAGTGTAATGATGAATAAAAAACGGAGATGGATGTACATTTAAGGTGGGAAAACATCTCCGCGCATAGACCCCGTCATTTTGCCTCTCTCTTGAGCCTCCGGCCTCGTGCCCCCGCCATGGCCCAATATACCTCACACATATCTTAACCCGAACAGAGGTCAAAGTGACGTAAACAAGCCCAGGACGTACGCTTCACTATACTGCACAAGTCACGGGGAACTGTTTTGGTCACAAAAACAATGGTATACGATACTCCAAACCTTTGTCTGCAAATCCTCTTTGCTACGAACGCATGTCAATGTCAGTCTGATAGACCACAATTAGATTTTCTTCCGTCCTTCCGCGCTCTGGGCGGCAATGGGATAAGGTTGAGAGCGGATGAACTGCACCCGGAAGTACCGCTATGGTTGGAACCTTCCTTATGTGTTTACTAAGAGGAACGAGGTGCGATTTACATTAGTTGAACATACGACCCACCCGCCATGGCGTTCTCACTACTCGATCACGTCATACGCTGGTATGGCGGGATCAGGTAGTTACCAAATCACCTACAAAATATCACAAACACAATCACCAAATTACCTACCAAATATCATAAAGATCAATTCATAGCTTCTAAAATTTACGAAAACAAAATACTTTCCGCAACTCAAAGTCTGAGTTTTCCGACTTCTTGTTTGAGATGTTTAGCTTGGGTGCCATCCTGTTTGTATGCCAGGGCTCCCATACGTATACTCCTCCCTAAGAAATTTATGGGAGGAGGATGAAAGCCCCGGCATACAAATAGAATGGCACACAGGCTATAAAATGTTGCCTTTTAACTATTTTTCTAAACCATGTTAACGGTACGAAATACGTCTTGTGTAATGTACTAATGGTCATATCTATTTAAAGATCCTTTGATTAATAGACTATAATCATGGATCGTTAAATGCAGGTCCAAACCTTGATAACGACGAGCCAGGAACCGAGATCATAAGCACCGGAACAGCACTGTACTTCTTCTCCGTGTTCGGTAATGTAGTCGACTGCTGCTCCGCATGGGGGCGTCTGTGGCCAAGAGACCTTGGGGTTCATTTCCTCCCCTTCATGCAACAGCGAACCATAGTAGGCCATTTTTTTCTAATTCATAAATATATTATAGTAAAAATCCATAGCCATTCCGTCACGACTCAACTGGAAACATATAATGTGATGTTGTTGCGCCATGTTTTTGTAGCGCAACGGCAGAGCGTTCGGCTCGGAACCAAGAGTTCCCGAGTTCCAATCCTGCCATGCCACCGATCCAGTGCACTTGGAAAAGGTACGTGGCAAGAATTTGTGAAAATAAGTCTGTTGTACGTGCAAACGCAAACACATGGCTTTTTAGATATAAGATTAAAAAAAAACCCTTAAGTGTGCCATCGCCATGTCTTGAAAAAAGGTTTGGATATTTAAAAAAGGAAGAAATTTATTGCCTTGGTTTGTTGGATTAATTGTAACATTAGTCTGGTGCCATTTACACGTCGAGATAAGAGAGTGAAAATTCAGTTCAGTCAGCTTTAACTAAAGAGGACGTTTAGAACCATGAATATTGAAAACAACAGATTGACCCAGTCATAGTTATTACATTGGTCTTTGTCAT